ACAGACTTATGGAAAAGTGCCATATCATGAGCTTGGGAACAGAAAGCATCAGGGAATCACCATGTTCTACTGCTATTATGAAAGTAAGTTGCAAATAGTAAAGTGCTTTACATTTTAAAATTTAAAATTTTGATTTATGCATAATCCTAAGTCTAAAAATTATATTTATTATTCTTTAGGCTGCAAGTACATATTGAGAGACAAGAACGGTACTTTCCAGTCCCCTGGATTCTCTGGTAAATACCCGGATGGACAGCTGTGCTCGTGGAGGATCATGGTCCCTGTTAATCACACTGTGCAAGTTCGCTTCACTAACGTCTCTTTGAATGACAACGACACTTTGAGATATTCTGAAAGATACTCTACAAGAAGCAATGGAAGTTTTAGATCGTGGCATACGATTCCCCTTCATTCAACGGTACCGTTTTCGTTGTCAGCTGACAGTGAACTACTGTTCGTCTTTAGTTCGGATGAATCAAAGACCAGCTCTGGATTCAGAGCAGAATACCGTGTGTCCATACCACAAGGTGAGTAAAGATACGAACTCGGATTTGATGGTCGGAGCTCCAGTACAAAGTATCCGGCTTTTTGAACAGGGACGAATTTGTTTTGACTATTGCTCACTCCATTCTCACTACTGTTTGTATAACCTATGTTCTTGGTCTTATATTCCTAGCTACAACTACACCAAGGGGTGAGTAAAATTTGCCGGATATCCTGTTAGAAAATGATTCTAAGACGATAATCACTGCTAGAGTTAAATTCAAATATCAGTTGGGGGTAAAGCGATTTTTACCCCAAACAACTATGGGTGTGTGATGACAATAGTTACCGATAGAAAGTTAAAACACTCTGAAGACAGGCGAGAATAGCAGTAGCAGTGTACTGAAGTAAAGGAAGGTAATGTGGTAAGGTAAGGTGTTGATAATGCCAGAATCCGTCGGATCCGCAAAACATTTATTCATATCCGAATCCGCAAAAAATTGATAGTTGAATGGTATGTGAATTGTTGAATTGTGTTTTACAAATCTGTGGCGTTTCTTTGATCCGCACTCTATAGTGAGTAAAAATCGAAAT